TCAGGTCTGAGTGAGATATTAGGACCTTCAACACACACATCAGGTCTGAGTGAGATATTAGGACCTACAACACACACATCAGGTCTGAGTGAGATATTAGGACCTACAACACACACATCAGGTCTGAGTGAGATATTAGGACCTATAACACACACATCAGGTCTGAGTGAGATATTAGGACCTATAACACACACATCATCTGCGAGTGAGAGATATTAGGACCTACAACACACACATCAGGTCTGAGTGAGATATTAGGACCTACAACACACACATCAGGTCTGGTGAGATATTAGGACCTACAACACACACATCAGGTCTGAGTGAGATATTAGGACCTACAACACACACATCAGGTCTGAGTGAGTCATTAGGATCTTCAGCAAACACATCAGGTTTGAGTGAGATATTAGGACCTTCAGCAAACACATCAGGTCTGAGTGAGATATTAGGACCTACAACACACACATCAGGTCTGAGTGAGATATTAGGACCTACAACACACACATCAGGTCTGAGTGAGATATTAGGACCTATAACACACACATCAGGTCAGAGTGAGATATTAGGACCTATAACACACACATCAGGTCTGAGTGAGATATTAGGACCTACAACACACACATCAGGTCTGAGTGAGATATTAGGACCTACAACACACACATCAGGTCTGAGTGAGATATTAGGACCTACAACACACACATCAGGTCAGAGTGAGATATTAGGACCTATAACACACACATCAGGTCAGAGTGAGATATTAGGACCTACAACACACACATCAGGTCTGAGTGAGATATTAGGACCTACAACACACACATCAGGTCTGAGTGAGATATTAGGACCTACAACACACACATGAGGTCTGAGTGAGATATTAGGACCTATAACACACACATCAGGTCTGAGTGAGATATTAGGACCTATAACACACACATCAGGTCTGAGTGAGATATTAGGACCTATAACACACACATCAGGTCTGCGTGAGATATTACGACCTACAACACACACATCAGGTCTGAGTGAGATATTAGGACCTACAACACACACATCAGGTCTGAGTGAGATATTAGGACCTATAACACACAAATCAGATCTGAGTGAGACATTCGGGATGTTTGATATGATCATGCAGCTTATTGGACAAAATTGTTCAGCCAATAAACAGAACTATATTTGAAGCAACGAACCTGATGACGCTCAGGCGGTTACATTTTCTAAAAACATTAGAACGCAACATTTTAGCAATAGTGTGTGTATAGAAATAACAATATTTAAATTATGTCTTTTAATACAAAAGGCCAATGACTTGAGAGGCGAGGAACAAATTTGAGTAGGCCAAGATAAAAACTGGTAAAAACTACCCAGGCCTATACCTGACGCCGCGGCCGGATTAGAAGGCCTGGGTGCCCACAGCGTCATCAGTCTACGCGCCTCTGTGTGGATCACACATCTCTCTTCGGGCTGGAGCTATGGCTGGAGCATTTTGAGGGTTTTTAAAGCAGGAGTCAGGAAGGTGGCGATCTTACGGGTGTTTGTGATTTTTTGGTTTAACAGCCTCCCTGTTAAACTTAATTATATATATAATTATATATAGGGATCAGGAGCTTTATGACCCGACCTTCCCGCACCCGACATGACTCATATTTTTGAGGCATCCAACCCGCCCGAAACTGCGGGTTGACCGCGGCTTTCGGGCTGACCCGCGCATCACTACCCCTTAGGTAACACGTTGCCATAGATACACAGGGCCGATGGAAACGCTCTCAAACCGAGTTGAGTCGTGCCGAGTCGAGTTGAGGCGAGTAGAGTCGGGCCCGTGGAAACAGCCAGTGATACGCAGGAACGCATACACAACAAATATACTATATCATACAAGGCGGCCCCGACTCCACCGGGCGCGTAAAACGGACGACGTATCCGTCCAAACGCGTCCGTTTCATCTCCGTTTCCTTTATCTCCATGAGGGTGAATGGAAGTGGCTCCACGGCCTGCAACATGCGTCATTCCGTCAACGGAGGGTGCAACGGACGCGGACGGACGAAATCAAAACAATTTTACCCGTCCGTCGACGCGTGTCGCGACCGTTTTCCATTGAAAATGCAATGGAATAATATATTTACCAAATTATTTAACATGTATTGATATATGCTGTAGTCCTTGGTTATAACTGTTTGTTAATGACAATGAAACAAAATGTGTGTCATTTTGTTTCATGTATTAAACTGAAATAATTGTTTCCTGATCGTAAATCTACCATTTACTTTTCGCGCAATGTTAATACGCTAAACTTTACATACACCTCGCTCTTTTAGTTCTTGCTCTGTCCCTGTCTACCTCCGAGGCGCTCTCTCCTCACCGCCGCTCCACACACACACACTGCACTTTTGCACGCCCACGCACACATGCACGCCAATAATACATTACTCCTCCATCAGCCAAACATTCATTTATTCACACAGTGTCCACTGGGGGTACACTCTTGAATTTAAAATATGTGTTAGAGGGCCATGAGACGAGTCCAACGGTGTAGGTTAGACCGCACGGTTCTCGATGGGCGGGCCTTAAAGCGGGGACGATTCTTACGATAAAAGAAGCTCATTAAAGGGTCAAATTTATTCGAAATGTCTAAAAACTCAGCACACACCCCTCTAAATACAGACTGAACCAGAATCCAACGTTTCAACCTGTTCGGGCACTCGCTTAGCTACTTAGCTTCCTATTGGCCAAAATGAGTGGGCGCCCAGATATTTGAGAAGAGAATAGTGTGGATTTAACACCATCCAACCTCTCTTACTGAAGGAGAAACTGGAAGAAATCAGAGTTGATCCCATCTTTTCCAACTGGATATATAATTACCTCACTGTGTGTCACAGTATGTCAGGTTAGGGAAGAGCGTGTCTGGGACTTTTGTGAGCCATAAGGGAGCACCACAGGGTACCATTCTGGCTCCCTTCCTCTTCACTGATTACACTGCAGAATTTGCACACAACTTTGCTACATGCCATGTACAAAAATAGGACTATAGGCAGGGGTGCACATAAGTGGTACACAGGTACGCATGCGTGACTATCACTTGAGTTAGTAAGCACTTTTGCGTACTTCACATTGACCAGTCCTTCTCAAATAGTGTGGCGCTCCTCCCTGGGGGGTCGTAATGCAATAACATCCTTCGTTCTGACCCCGGGAGAAACTGTGGCGCTTCGACAGCTCAGCAAGTGTGCGTGGTCATATACCGAGCGCGGACCATAGACACGCGTGGTCATGTACCGAGCGAGGACCATAGACGCACGTGGTCATGTACCGAGCGAGCACCATAGACGCGCGACCTGGACTGGGTCCTAGTCCAGGTCCGGGTCTAGGTCTTGGTTCTCGACTCGGCTCAGGTCTGGGTCCAGGACTGAGTCTAGATCAGAGTCTAGATCAGAGTCTAGATCAGAGTCTAGATCAGAGTCTAGATCAGAGTCTAGATCAGAGTCTAGATCAGAGTCTCAGATCAGAGTCTAGATCAGAGTCTAGATCAGAGTCTAGATCAGAGTCTAGATCAGAGTCTGATCAGAGTCTAGATCAGAGTCTAGATCAGAGTCTAGATCAGAGTCTAGATCAGAGTCTAGATCAGAGTCTAGATCAGAGTCTAGATCAGAGTCTAGATCAGAGTCTAGATCTCAGAGTCTAGATCAGAGTCTAGATCAGAGTCTAGATCCGAGTCTAGATCCGAGTCTAGGTCCGAGTCTAGGTCCGAGTCTAGGTCCGAGTCTAGATCCGAGTCTAGGTCCGGGGCTGAGTCCGGGACAGGGTCCGGGATTAAGTTAGACCCAGACTTAGGGTGATAAGTTAGACACATTCTTAAGTGTTCCTCTGAGGACTTCCCTGGGTTTGGACTGAAGTCATGAAACTGTCAGAGAAGAGCCCTGAGGCCCAGGAGCAGTGCTGATGACCCGCCCTCTGTGACCCGTCTGTGATCCGTCTGTGACCCGTCTGTGGGATGGACCCCTCTCTCTGTGGTGTTTCCGAGGTTCTCTTTTTCTGCCACTGTTTAGACTTTAATCACTTTTTTTTTTTTTTATTCTGCGGGGGGGAGGGGGCGGGGTGTGGTCCCTCTCTACAAGAAGGGGGACCGGATGATGTGTTCCAATTATCGTGGGATCACACTCCTCAGCCTCCCCGGTAAGGTCTACTCCAAGGTACAGGAGAGGAGGCTACGGCCGATGGTCGAATCTCAGATTCAGGAGGAGCAGTGTGGTTTTCGTCCCGGTCGTGGAACACTGGACCAGCTCTATACTCTCCATCGGATACTCGAGGGTTCATGGGAGTTCGCCCAACCTGTCCACATGTGCTTTGTGGATTTGGAGAAGGTATTCGACAGTATTCCCCGGGGTGACCTTTGGGGGATTCTCCCAGAGTACGGGGGTCCAGGGTCCTTATCTCAGGGCTTTCCGGTCACTGTATGACTGGAGCCAGAGCTGTGTCCGCAGTAAGTCAGATATGTTCCCAGTGTTGGGGTCCCCCAGGGCTGCCCTTTGTCACCAGTTCTGTTCACTGTTTTCATAGACAGAATTTCTAGGCACAGCCAGGGGTTGGAGAAGTCCGGTTTGGGGACCACGGGGGCCGGAGGGGGGCCGGTTTGGAACCAGAGTCACGGACCGGTTTGGAACATGAGCAAGGGGCCAGAGGGGGTCCGGTTTGGGGACCACAGGATATCGTCTCTGCTGTTTGCGGATGATGTTGTCCTGTTGGCTCCATCAGACCAGCACCTTGAGCTCTGGGACGATTTGCAGAAGAGTGTGATTTGGCTGAGACTGTGTCTCAGCTGGATGGACTGTGTCTCTCAGCTGGATGGACTGTGTCTCAGCTGGAGGAACTGTCTCTCAGCTGGATGGACTGTGTCTCTCAGCTGGATGGACTGTCTCTCAGCTGGATGGACTGTGTCTCAGCTGGATGGACTGTGTCTCAGCTGGATGGACTGTGTCTCAGCTGGATGGACTGTGTCTCAGCTGATGGACGTGTCTCTCAGCTGGATGGACTGTGTCTCAGCTGGATGGACTGTGTCTCAGCTGGATGTGTTCTCAGCTGGATGGTGTCTCAGCTGGATGGACTGTGTCTCAGCTGGATGGACTGTGTCTCAGCTGGATGGACTGTGTCTCAGCTGGATGGACTGTGTCTCAGCTGGATGGACTGTGTCTCAGCTGGATGGACTGTCTCTCAGCTGGATGGACTGTGTCTCAGCTGGATGGACTGTGTCTCTCAGCTGGATGGACTGTGTCTCAGCTGGATGGACTGTGTCTCAGCTGGATGGACTGTGTCTCAGCTGGATGGACTGTGTCTCAGCTGGATGGACTGTGTCTCAGCTGGATGGACTGTCTCTCAGCTGGATGGACTGTGTCTCAGCTGGATGGACTGTGTCTCAGCTGGATGGACTGTCTCAGCTGGATGGACTGTGTCTCAGCTGGATGGACTGTGTCTCAGCTGGATGGACTGTGTCTCTCAGCTGGATGGACTGTGTCTCTCAGCTGGATGGACTGTGTCTCTCAGCTGGATGGACTGTGTCTCAGCTGGATGGACTGTGTCTCAGCTGGATGGACTGTGTCTCTCAGCTGGATGGACTGTGTCTCTCAGCTGGATGGACTGTGTCTCAGCTGGATGGACTGTGTCTCTCAGCTGGATGGACTGTGTCTCTCAGCTGGATGGACTGTGTCTCAGCTGGAGGAACTGTGTCTCTCACTAATTTGAATTATGAAACACTCAGAAACTTCATATGATCCATGTTTTTGTGTTGAGGAGGAGGCTCATTTGATTGCTAGACTGAAATCTGTGGTGATTCGTCTGCAGTTTTGAGTCAGGGGCGGGTAATTAGGGCTGTGTCAATTATCAGATATATATCAATATTTTAAAATTGAATACATTATAGCTGTTTTATTTAGGATATATATATATATATTTATTTATATATATATATATATTAATTGTCCACTCACCTGGCCCTCCGTGGGCGGTTATCCCTCTCTAAGCTCGGGTCCTCTACCAGAGGCCTGGGAGCTTGAGGGTTCTGCGCAGTATCTTTGCTGTTCCTAGCACTGCACATTTCTGGACCCAGATGTCCGAGGTTGTTCCGGGGATCCGCTGTAACCACTCTTCTAGCTTCGGGGTCACTGCCCCGAGTGCACCGATCACCACGGGCACTACTGTCACCTTTACCCTCCAGGCCCTCTCCAGCTTATATATATATATATATATATATATATTATATATATATTAACAGCTACTAATAGGAGCTGTTAACAGCTCCTATTAACAGCTACGCCCTGCCAGTGATCAGATACCCTGCAGGAATAATCAGGTGGCCAAAGGAAGAGATTCAGGACCACGTATGTTAAAACTCGAAAGCTCCTTACCATGCATGGCGGGTTCCATCCCAAATCCAGCACCCTGAGACTGTACGTAAGCCGTAAAGAAGGAGGCCGAGGACTAGTGAGTGTGAGAGCCACTGTCCAGGACCAAACATCCAAACTCCAGAACTACATCATGGAGAAGGCCAAAACGGATGACGTACTCAGTGAATGTCTCAGGCAGTGGCGAGATGAGAAGGTGCTGGAGGAGAGCCCATCATGGGAGAACAAGCCCCTACACGGCATGTACCACCGGAGGATAGCAGAAGTGGCTGATCTCAAGAAGTCCTACCAATGGCTAGAAAGGGCTGGCCTACAGGAAAGCACAGAGGCACTCATCATGGCTGCACAGGAACAGGCCCTGAGCACCAGAGAGGCCCAGATATACCACACCAGACAAGACCCAAGGTGTCGGTTGTGCAAAGAGGCACTTGAGACGATCCAACACATAACTGCAGGGTGCAAGATGCTGCAGGGAAGGCCTACATGGAACGCCATAACCAAGTGGCTGGCATAGTGTACAGAAACATCTGTGCAGAGTATGGGCTGGAAACCCCAAGGACTAAGTGGGAAACTCCTCCAAAGGTGGTGGAGAATGAGCGTGCAAAGATCCTGTGGGACTTCCAGATACAGACCGACCGAATGGTAATGAACCAACCTGACATTGTGGTGGTAGACAAAGGGCAGAGGACAGCCGTGGTGGTGGTGGTGGACAAAGGGCAGAGGACAGCCGTGGTGGTGGACAAAGGGCAGAGGACAGCCGTGGTGGTGGGCAAAGGGCAGAGGACAGCCGTGGTGGTGGGCAAAGGGCAGAGGACAGCCGTGGTGGTGGACAAGGGCAGAGGACAGCCGTGGTGGTGGACAAAGGGCAGAGGACAGCCGTGGTGGTGGACAAAGGGCAGAGGACAGCCGTGGTGGTGGACAAAGGGCAGAGGACAGCGTGGTGGTGGACGTGGAATTCCAAGCGATGGTAACATCAGGAAAAAAGAACATGAAAAGCTTGAGAAATACCAAGGTCTCAGAGAGGAGCTGGAGAGGGCCTGGAGGGTAAAGGTGACAGTAGTGCCCGTGGTGAAAGGTGAGTGGACAATTTTTTTTAAAATAAATATAATATATATATAATATATATATATATATATATATATATATATATAATTTTCCGATTTAGTCTCTTTTCCATTATTTCGATTTTTTGATGTTACAAACAGAAGCTTGAGATGATTTTTTTCATCAAATGTAATGCACCAATAATAGCTTTAAGATACCAGCCAAAAGCCTTTTTTACTGTGTTGTATTTTTGTTTGATTGTATGACTATATTTTTGACTGTGCGCACGTGTCTCCTGCAGCCCTGAACATACGTTCTAAGTTTATCAGTCCAGGTCTCAGTTCAGGTCTCAGTCCAGGCCTTGATTCTGCAGCTGCAGATTGAAACATTGTTTCTCTTTGATGGCCCACTCTGGATCAGCCAATCAGAATAGCCTACGGTCCCGCCCCCTGTGCACTTAGTATCGCAGCCTAAAACTAAACATGTTTAAATGTGTTGTTTTAACACACACAGTACAGGAAAGGGTTTTAACACGAGTTCACCAGGAACAAGTTTCATTTGAAAACTTTGAAATGTTGTAATTGTAAAATTAATAAGTAAAAAACTATATTTTTTGAGGGAGAAAGAAACAGCTTGCAGGTGGATTTAACCAATCACAACACTGTGTATCTTAACCAATGAGAGCGCACAATGAGCCACGTTCTGTCTGAGTTCACGTGCACACGAGGACCACGCGAGGAGCACACGGCGACGAACCGGAGAGATGGCGCGTGAGAGCAGAGCCGATGCGGTAAGTACCTCTGTCTTATTTCTGTGGGTAAAGTGAGTGCTTTTCATTGTAATAACTCCGGCCAAAGTAACTTCTCCGTATCAAATCCAATGTTTTAAATACAAAACGTGGTGCTCAGCGGTAAGTTCGTTTGATGGCGGCGTGGGTCTGCGCATGGGTCTGTGTCTGGGTCTATGCGCGGGTCTGGGTCTGTGCGCGGGTCTGGGTCTGTGCGTGGTTCTGTGGTTCTGTGTCTGTGCGAGGGTCTGTGCGTGGTTCTGTGTTTGTGCGCGGGTCTGCGCGTTGTTCTGTGGGTCTGGGTCTGTGCGTGGGTCTGTGGTTCTGATCTCTGAAACTTCGAAAAAGATGGAGGCCTTCTAAAATCAATTGCTGAATTATGAAAATTGTATGAGCAAGCGATTATTATTTTATTTATTTTTTCCCCTTGGTCTGTGAAATGCACTATATATGAATATTACTTACTTATAGAACGTGTTTTGGATTCAGGACCTCATGGAGTAATTTCCAAAAATCATTTTAAATTTATTGTAAAATTCAAATGTGTTGAAATGTATTAAACAAAATGCAGATGAATTCTAATTGTAAATCTTGCATGTTGCAGATGAGTAGCCCATCTTCAGATGCCTGGTCCAGTAATGAGTACAAGCCTCCTCCTGGAAGCCCGTGCTCCTCTATATTATCCAGCAACGTTTCAGTATTTTCTGACACATGTGAGTCCAGACCAAAGACAAGTCCTGGTTTAGTCCTGGTTTAGACCTAGGGTAGACCTGGTTCAGACCTGGTTTAGACCTGGTTTAGACCTGGTTCAGACCTGGGGTAGTCCTGGTTTAGACCTGGTTTAGTCCTGGTTCAGTCCTGGTTTAGACCTAGGCTAGACATGGTTTAGACCTAGGGTAGACCTGGTTTAGTCCTGGTTCAGTCCTGGTTCAGTCCTGGTTTAGTCCTGGTTCGGACCTGGTTCAGTCCTGGTTTAGTCCTGGTTTAGTCTTGATTCAGACCTGGTTCAGTCCTGGTTTAGTCCTGGTTTAGACCTGGTTTAGACCTGGTTTAGACCTGGTTTAGTCCTGGTTCAGTCCTGGTGTTTAGACCTGGTTTAGACCTGGTTCAGTCCTGGTCCAGTCCTGGTTTAGACCTGGTTTAGACCTGGTTTAGACCTGGTTTAGACCTGGTTTAGACCTGGTTTAGACCTGGTTTAGTCCTGGTTTAGTCCTGGTTCAGTCCTGGTGTTTAGACCTGGTTTAGACCTGGTTCAGTCCTGGTTCAGTCCTGGTGTTTAGACCTAGGGTAGACCTGGTTTAGTCCTGGTTTAGACATGGTTTAGGCCTGGTTTAGGCCTGGTTTAGGCCTGGTTTAGGCCTGGTTTAGACCTGGTTCAGTCCTGGTTCAGTCCTGGTTTAGACCTGGTTTAGACCTAGGCTAGACCTGGTTTAGTCCTGGTTTAGTCTTGGTTCAGACCTGGTTCAGACCTGGTTTAGTCCTGGTTTAGTCCTGGTTTAGTCCTTGCTGACCCTTCTGTGTGTTCTTAGCGTGTGCTGAAGTGTCTGATGAAGAGGAGCTAGAGCCGACCTCCACAAAGGCCCAGAAAAACAAACGGACCAAGAGGACAGATGGTGAGTACAACTGATCCTGGTTTAGTCCTGGTTTAGTCCTGGTTTAGTCCTGGTTTAGTCCTGGTTTAGACCTGGTTTAGACCTGGTTTAGACCTGGTTTAGACCTGGTTTAGACCTGGTTTAGACCTGGTTTAGACCTGGTTCAGTCCTGGTGTTTAGACCTGGTTTAGACCCTGGTTCAGTCCTGGTCCAGTCCTGGTTTAGACCTGGTTTAGACCTGGTTTAGACCTGGTTTAGACCTGGTTTAGTCCTGGTTCAGTCCTGGTGTTTAGACCTGGTTTAGACCTGGTTCAGTCCTGGTGTTTAGACCTAGGGTAGACCTGGTTTAGTCCTGGTTTAGACATGGTTTAGGCCTGGTTTAGGCCTGGTTTAGACCTGGTTCAGTCCTGTTCAGTCCTGGTTTAGACCTGGTTTAGACCTAGGCTAGACCTGGTTTAGACCTGGTTAGTCCTGGTTTAGTCTTGGTTCAGTGTTAGACCTGGTTTAGTCCTGGTTCAGTCCTGGTGTTTAGACCTGGTTTAGACCTGGTTCAGTCCTGGTTTAGACATGGTTTAGGCCTGGTTTAGGCCTGGTTTAGACCTGGTTCAGTCCTGTTCAGTCCTGGTTTAGACCTGGTTTAGACCTAGGCTAGACCTGGTTTAGACCTGGTTTAGTCCTGGTTTAGTCTTGGGACCTGGTTCAGACCTGGTTTAGTCCTGGTTCAGTCCTGGTGTTTAGACCTGGTTTAGACCTGGTTCAGTCCTGGTTTAGACCTGGTTTAGACCTGGTTTAGACCTGGTTTAGACCTGGTTTAGACCTGGTTTAGTCCTGGTTCAGTCCTGGTGTTTAGACCTGGTTTAGACCTGGTTCAGTCCTGGTCCAGTCCTGGTTTAGACCTGGTTTAGACCTGGTTTAGACCTGGTTTAGTCCTGGTTCAGTCCTGGTGTTTAGACCTGGTTTAGACCTGGTTCAGTCCTGGTTCAGTCCTGGTGTTTAGACCTAGGGTAGACCTGGTTTAGTCCTGGTTTAGACATGGTTTAGGCCTGGTTTAGGCCTGGTTTAGGCCTGGTTTAGACCTGGTTTAGACCTGGTTCAGTCCTGGTTTAGACCTGGTTTAGACCTAGGCTAGACCTGGTTTAGACCTGGTTTAGTCCTGGTTTAGTCTTGGTTCAGACCTGGTTCAGACCTGGTTCAGACCTGGTTCAGACCTGGTTCAGTCCTGGTTTAGTCCTGTTTCAGTCCTTTTTTAGACCTGGTTTAGACCTGGTTTAGTCCTGGTTTAGTCCTGGTTTAGTCCTGGTTCAGACCTGGTTCAGACCTGGTTTAGTCCTGGTTTAGTCCTGGTTCAGACCTGGTTCAGACCTGGTTTAGTCCTGGTTCAGACCTGGTTCAGACCTGGTTCAGTCCTGGTTTAGTCCTGGTTTAGTCCTGGTTTAGTCCTGGTTTAGTCCTTGCTGACCCTTCTGTGTGTTCTTAGCGTGTGCTGAAGTGTCTGATGAAGAGGAGCTAGAGCCGACCTCCACAAAGGCCCAGAAAAACAAACTGACCAAGAGGACAGATGGTGAGTACAACTGATCCTGGTTTAGTCCTGGTTTAGACGTGGTTTAGACGTGGTTTAGACCTGGTTTAGACCTGGTTCAGTCCTGGTTCAGTCCTGGTTCAGTCCTGGTTCAGTCCTTGTTTAGTCCTGGTTCAGTCCTGGTTTAGTCCTGGTTCAGTCCTGGTTCAGTCCTGTTTCAGTCCTGGTTTAGACCTGGTTCAGTCCTGGTTCAGTCCTGGTTTAGTCCTGGTTTAGTCCTGTTTCAGACCTGGTTTAGGCCTGGTTTAGTCCTGGTTTAGGCCTGGTTTAGGCCTGGTTTAGGCCTGGTTTAGTCCTGGTTCAGTCCTGGTTTAGACCTGGTTTAGACCTGGTTTAGACCTGGTTTAGACCTGGTTTAGTCCTGGTTTAGTCCTGGTTTAGACCTGGTTTAGACCTGGTTTAGACCTGGTTTAGACCTGGTTTAGACCTGGTTTAGACCTGGTTTAGACCTGGTTTAGACCTGGTTTAGACCTGGTTTAGACCTGGTGTTTAGACCTGGTGTTTAGACCTGGTGTTTAGACCTGGTTTAGACCTGGTGTTTAGACCTGGTGTTTAGACCTGGTTTAGACCTGGTTTAGACCTGGTTCAGTCCTGTTTCAGTCCTGGGGTAGTCCTGGTGTTTAGACCTAGGGTAGACCTGGTTTAGTCCTGGTTCAGTCCTGGTTTAGTCCTGGTTCAGTCCTGGTTTAGTCCTGGTTCAGTCCTGGTTCAGTCCTGTTTCAGTCCTGGTTTAGTCCTGGTTCAGTCCTGGTTCAGTCCTGTTTCAGTCCTGGTTTAGACCTGGTCCAGTCCTGGTTTAGTCCTGGTTTAGTCCTGTTTCAGACCTGGTTCAGGCCTGGTTTAGGCCTGGTTTAGGCCTGGTTTAGGCCTGGTTTAGTCCTGGTTCAGTCCTGGTTCAGTCCTGGTTCAGTCCTGGTTTAGACCTGGTTTAGACCTGGTTTAGACCTGGTTTAGACCTGGTTTAGTCCTGGTTTAGTCCTGGTTTAGTCCTGGTTTAGACCTGGTTTAGACCTGGTGTTTAGACCTGGTTTAGACCTGGTTCAGTCCTGTTTCAGTCCTGGGGTAGTCCTGGTGTTTAGACCTAGGGTAGACCTGGTTTAGTCCTGGTTCAGTCCTGGTTTAGACCTGGTCCAGACCTGGTCATCAGGATAAACATGTCTTTATGTGTCTTATTGTCTCCATCAGAAGCTTCTAGAAACCCAAAGAAACCCTGGAGTGAGGAGGAGAGCCGTGGAGAAGAGGATGGAGAAGTACCTGGCTCTGTGTGCTGTGCCTCACCAGTGTTGGGCACGTTACTTTGAAAAAGTAATTAGTTATAGTTACTAGTTACTTCTCCCAAAAAGTAACTGAGTTACTAACGGAGTTACTCCACTATAAAAGTAACTAGTTACCAGTAAAAGTAACTATTGCGTTACTTTTTCGTTTTGTTCTGGAACATAATGTGCACCCGACGTGCGCATTTTTACCTTTAACAGTGCCAATATTTCCATCTAGAAAAGGCTGTTTTGCTGCTGAAGTCCTGTTCACTCTTCATCTCTCACTGTGCTGTAAAGCCCGCCACTGTGAATGTGGAAACACCGGTGACGAGCGGTGAGGCTGGTGAAGCACTGACTTCAGTCCAATCAGATGAACATATACATCATATAAATCAAGTGGACAATTTGTTTGGCTACAGCAAAATATGTTTTATGCCCGCATTGTTTGTTCATACAAAACGCAAAACTATGAGTTATGGGTCTTACCTTATAGCTATACCTTATAAATGACCTGCACAGTCCACTTCGGTTCAGACCAGTTCCTTGTTTAAATCCAGTGAATGGTTTGAGCGTAGATATGTAATCCTCCGTTTGGAAATGAGTCCAATGAGTTTTAAAAAGTAAAACAAAACGTGTGTGTCCTCCGTAAACTCCTCTGTTTTGCTGCAGCCGGCTGCATCCAATTTCTAAAATCAACCGTCTTACACTTCACCTCTCTTTCTTATCATTCCTATAGTAATTGAAAAATTACCCTATGTGCATTTTAGATTATGTAAAAATGTGTTATATGTATGTTAGCCAAACCTGTTGCTGTCCTTAGCAGATAAACCAGGAAGAGCAAGGAGCTTATCGATGGAATTGTATGCAGTCGACTTCTGCGCTCACATGCGCTCCTCTGTGGCTGACCTCACGCTGATACAAGCCGTGGTTGAGCGCGATTAAGACCCATATTTGTTTCAAAAACACAATTTATGAGCCATCCTCTCAACTGTAGACATGTAGATTGTAAAGGAAATATGTTTTACATCAGCCAATAATTGCTGAGAGGTTTTCTCATCCCCCCTTCTCTCATGACAACACGTTCATTGTGCGTCTTGAGTAACGCGCAGTAACGGGATGTCGGAAATGATAACGGCGTTATAGTTACTGTCAAAGTAATTAGTTAGATTACTCGTTACTGAAAAAAGTAACGGCGTTAGTAACGCCGTTACTAGTAACGCCGTTATTCCCATCACTGTGCCTCACACAGGAGTCTGCAGCCCTCATCAACAGAACCTGGAAGGACCTCAAGTACTTTGTGTATAATACTATTATCCGACTCAAGAGGCAGCTTGTGTAGCTGGTATTTGTGTCAAACTCATTCCCAAAGCGCCGCAGTGGCTGCAGGTTTTCCATCAGACCAAGCAGGAGCAGAGCAGACTCCTCCCATTTCCTCAGTGAGTTCAGTCTTAACCTGAAGGTTTGAGGAAATGGGAGGAGTCTGCTCTGCTCCTGCTTGGTCTGATGGAAAACCTGCAGCCACTGCGGCGCTTTAGGAATGAGTTTGACCGCCCTGCTTTAATGTTAAGTGCAGTTATGTTTTAAAGTCCCGTTCAAGAGCACTTTGTATTAGGTCCTTTGTAATTGTCCTGTTGGGACAAGTCAAAATACAAAGATGCAAATAAACCTGTCTTTCAAATGTTTTGCTTTGTTTTATTAAAATTGCTGTGATCCCACATAATAATCTGTGTCCATTTGCACATGTGACCAACTATATAATTCTAAATAAACCTTCAAAGAGTTAAAAAAGGGTCTATTCATGATTTCTTTTGCAAATTTCACTTATTGTCCCCACTCTGATGGTTCAAAACGTTTTCTTAAATCTTGGTTCTAAAATTTTTTCAATGGAGTGTATAGCTCCGCAGCGCCATCAAGTGTCTAGAAAGTGTTTTTTCTTCCTCCTAAAACATTGGGAAAGGCAAGTCCTCAGTTTTCATGTTTTTAACTACGACCTCACTAGTGTTTCAGAATCATCAGAATCAGAATCAGAATCATTTTTATTGCCACGTGAGTAACAAAGTTATCACTTGGAAATTGTTTTGGCAGAGAGCGTGCCACTTCGCCATTTGCGGCGCTGTGTGCAGCAAGAAACAGCAGAGAGCAATAACATACAGTTCACAGACAATTGGATAGACACATTGTGCTTTTTATAAACCACGGATTTTTTTCTCGGGAAGAGCACCTCTTCGGCCGGCCCAATGTAGCTGTCAGAGGGGGGCGGGATCAGGGAGGGGGTGAGTAGGAAAACAATAAGGAATGGAGGGGAGGGAGGGAGCAAGATGGATAGGTAGAGGGAGGCGGGGGTGGGGGATCCTTGCTGAAGACTGAAATAGTGTGAGTTGTTGTAGATTGTGGGACCTTGTTTATGGCCTTGGCTGAGGAATGTGAGATAAGAGTGGAGAGAAGCCACAGGAGGAGAAAAACACATCGCCTGCAATGTCGCAGTCAAAAGCAGGCAGATATTCTATTAATTCCAATTAAACCGAATTCCGGTGCCCTCAGACCTCCGTACACAGGGGCAAATCCAAGCCGGGTCAGAGAGATCAAGCCTGACAAACAATGTCATTCAATCTCAATTCCAAAGTCTTATGTCCATCAAGTGAACGAGCTGCGAGGTCTTTGATCAACTGTTCCACCAAAACCACTCTTCTTTGTCCAGACACGGCACTCTCAACCACGACACGGCTAAGCTCCTTGTACATCCCATCAATTTTATCGGCCAGCAGGTCGTGAATCTTGCGAACTGCCATGCCTCCGAATTTGTGGTAGAAGAGGATCGCTCCAAACCCAAACAGGAGGATTCCCACCACCAAAATGCCAAAGATATATACGTCTTCCGAATCTTCAATGGACAGGGTCGACAGACAGAGGGGCTGCCACTTGTTCCAGCTGTCAAGCGTATACCCCGCTGGTGAAGTCCCGTCCGGACACACGGGCTCTCCAGACCCACGCTTACGTGTTGAAAAGATAGAATCAATTGCGTTGAGGGACCAATTAATCATTTCCATTCTGTTAAAGTTGTCTGTGGCAAAGCTCCAGGAAAAAAGACAAAAACAGGAGATAGCAAGCCGTTCAGAAGCAGGAGCGGACTAAGACACGTCTTTGCTCGACGGAGGAGGAAGGAGGAAGGGGTTTGCGGGAATGTGTGTGTTTGTGTGTGTGTTCTGGCGAATAGAGACTGATTGTTGAATGTCTGAAGTGTTATTGCAATAGCACCACACTGAGAGCGAGGGTCAGGGCAGATAGTAACATGTGTGCACGTGTGTGTGTGCGCGCCCCGGACACGAGTGCACACACACACACACTTCAGCAACGAGCGTACGAGCGCTGAGAAATGAATGAATGAGAAAAAGTGTGGAGCAAAGTGATCGGAGGCAGGGAAGTTACAAGTGTGTGTGTGTGTTCTGGTGATTAAATAAAGACTGATTCTTTAATGTCTGAAGTGTTACTGCGATAGCACCACTGAGAGCAGGGTCAGGACAGAGGGAGTTATACTCGTAGGAAACGCTTTTCTTTGGCCTTGCAGCCACACACTCCCTGTGCCCCTCGGTCTGGGGCTTATATGAAAGGTTTAACAGAAGCGGAGAATATAAGAAAGTGCAGGAGAGACGTGTGTGTGAAAATGCGTGTCACAGGAAGACGTGTAATGTGACGCAAGATAATCAGATATTAGGACCGACATCACACACATCAGGTCTGAGTGAGATATTAGGACCTATAACACACACATCAGGTCTGAGTGAGATATTAGGACCTATAACACACACATCAGGTCTGAGTGAGATATTAGGACCTATAACACACACATCAGGTCTGAGTGAGATATCAGGACCTACAACACACACATCAGGTCTGAGTGAGATATCAGGACCTACAACACACACATCAGGTCTGAGTGAGATATTAGGACCTACAACACACACATCAGGTCTGAGTGAGATAATAGGACCTACAACACACACATCAGGTCTGAGTGAGATATTAGGACCTATAACACACACATCAGGTCTGAGTGAGATATCAGGACCTGCAACACACACATCAGGTCTGAGTGAGATATTAGGACCTACAACACACACATCAGGTCTGAGTGAGATATCAGGACCTGCAACACACACATCAGGTCTGAGTGAGATATTAGGACCTACAACACACACATCAGTTCTGAGTGAGATTTTAGGACCTACAACACACACATCAGGTCTGAGTGAGATATTAGGACCTACAACACACACATCAGGTCTGAGTGAGATATTAGGACCTACAACACACACATCAGGTCTGAGTGACATATTAGGACCTACAACACACACATCAGGTCTGAGTGACATATTAGGACCTACAGTATAACAAGCACTTCAGGTCTGAGTGAAATATTTATCAATCGTTACTCCTTTCACGGAGAGTAACTCTGTAGATGGACAAATACATTATAACTTTAATGTAGAATTATTTATTTTTATACCTTGTGTTTGTAATTTTTGACACCTCACTTTTATATTTGTTTTTGATGTTTTAAATTCTAATTTAAACATGATTTTCCAACTGGAGTTAAGACAATTTTTCAGGGAGATAACCTACTGACACAAGGAGAACATGCAAGCTCCACTCCAAAAGGCCCCTTCTGGCTGAAAGTTTTTTTCTTTTCTTTTTTTTTACAAACACACACTCACTACTCAAGTATCTTTTTAAATTACCATGAGTCAATATTTTGGCTATTCTACCCACCTCTGGGAATGTATTTAAGTTTGTGACAAAATAGGTGACATATGAGGACAAGTGTGTGTGTGTTAAAAGTGTGTTAAGGTAGTACCGTGCACGACCAGAGAGGCGCTTCAAACTTTTTGGGACGGAGTGTTTCGGCCCCGACACACATTTTCACTATTTGTAGACATTTTGGGACATGCTTGATTTTTGGTGTGGAGCTTGTTCTGGGCCTCTACAACACTGTAGTATGCATGGAAAAATGGGGACCTGAAAAAAGTCCTCACATTTCCTCAGGTCCT